GCACACGAGCTAAAGTTTTTAAGAAGCTAGTTTTTCTTTTTGTCTTTGTTATTCATTATGATTTTCAATGGTAGGTTAGGAGCAGATCCTTCAGAAACAAACACAATTGTGACTTCAATTATTTGAGACAGGGTCTTGCTATGTAGCCCTGGCTGGCCACGAACTTGCATCATGATAGTGATAGTCCTGCCTTCCCAGTACTGGGAATACAGGCCTGCATCAAAATTCTTTATTCTCATTACCTATAGATAATACCCAACAATCCTTATTCTTGACTTTGAAACCAAATAGTTTGTCTTGTGCCTGTTTTCTTCCAAGCCTTCCCATACTCTATGCTCCCCCCATGCTTTTACTATTTCTAGTATTTCTCAGGTTTTTGCAGGTATTCTTTCTCCCAATATCCTCTTGGCAAAGACAAAATCTTTTGAAGTTCAGCTCAAAGGTCACTTGGAGAGCCTTCTGTCTTCTGCAGTTTATCCTAGTTCCCTAGGTCTGGATACACTGTTACAACTTTGCAAAAGTGTTGAAATTAGGTCGTGTTTACAAGTAAGTGAACTGTTGGCTAAATACTGGCAGCCCCAGAGGCTAGCTAGCATCATGCTGGGTAGAGTATGTTGCAAACTGCTAATTGAACATTGTTTTGCGGCAATTTGTTTTGTTTTCTGTAATCACTCAGTTAAACAGACTCAGAGTAGTGCTTAGTTTGGTCTTTATTCCTTAGGCAGCACCAAGGTGTACATTTGCTATGTAATCTTGAGAGGCAATATGGTATGATTGGCTCAGAACACTTGCCTTTATGCTCAAAGCTCAAAAGTTTTTCCAGTATAATGACAGAATTAAGCCTAGGAAGGTTTGGATTAGAGGTCTCTTGAGACCAGGATTCTGATTACTTTCACATAGCCATATTGGAAGTCTCTTGAAGATGCAACATATAGATCATCTTTTTTAAATTTTTATATGTATGTTTTATCTGCTTGTATGTAAGCACACCTGTGTCTTACACATGTGTGTCTCCCCTAGAACTGGAGTTACTGTTAGCTGTCATGTGAGTGCTGGGAATTGAACCCGAGTTTTCAGCAAGAACAGCCAGTGCTCTTAACCACGAACCATTTCTCTAGCCCAACAGATAAGGTCTTGACTAAGTTTTATACAGAGAGGATGTACTAGACAGAGATTAAGAATCATGGGGCTGGACAGGCATGGTGGCCCACACCTTTAATCCCAGCACTTAAGAGGCAGAAGCAGGCAGATCTCTGGGATCTAGGCCAGCCTGGTGTGCATAGCCAATTCCAGACCAGTTGGAGCTACAGGGAGACCCTGTCTCAAAAACAAAAACAAACAAAAAATCGTGGGGCTGGAGAAATGGCTCATTCAGCTGCCCTCACCAGTCTGCTCACAACAAAAGGTAACTCCAGGGCACCCAACACCCTCTTCTGGTTTCCTTGGGCATTGCATTCATGTTGTGCATTTCCATGTAGGCAAAACACTCATACACTAAAACCAAACCAAACCAAACCAAACCAAAAAAATCAAAAACACTTAGGGCTGGGAGATGACTCAAGGATTAAAAGCACTTGTTGGGGGCTGGAGAGATGGCTCAGCAGTTAAGAGCACTGGCTGTCCTTGCAGAAGACCCAAATTTGAATCTCAGAACCCACATGGTGGCTAATAACCATCTGTAACTCTAGTTCCAGGGGATTCAATGCCCTCTTTGTCCTCTGAAAGCACTGCACAACAGGAATGCACTTACATGCAGGCATAATACTCATACACATAAAATAAACAAATAAGAAAATTTTAACATTAAAAGCACTTGGGGCTGGAGAGATGGCTCAGCAGTTAAGAATACTGGCAGTTCTTGCAGAAGACCCAGGTTCAAAGCCCAGCACCCACATGGCAGCTAACAACTGTCTGTAACTCCAGTTCCAAGGGTTCCAACAGCCTCTTCTGTCCTCTGTGGGCACTGCACGACACGGGTGCACTTACCACATGCAGGCAATACATGCATACACATAAAATAAAAATAAATAAAAAAATAAAATAAATAAAAGCACTTGCTGCTCTTGCAAAAAACCAAGGACCCACATGGTTGCTCATGACTATAACTGCAGCTGCAGGGGGACCTAACCAGCTGTTCTGGCCTCCATGGGCACCAGGTACACATGGGGTACACAGACATATACATTAAAAACATACACATTAGATTGAAACCAGCCTGGTCTACATGGCATGTTCCAGACTAGCTGGGGTGACTGGGAAACCCTGTCTCAAAAATACATAAATAAGGGGCTGAAGAGATGGCTCAGTGATAAGAGCACTGGCTGCTTTTGCAGATGACCCAGATTCAATTCCCAGCACTCAAATGGTGGCTAACAACTGTACATAACTCCAGTTCCAGGGGCTCTGATGCCCTCTTCCATGGGCATTGCACACATGTGGTACATTTACTTTATGCAGGCAAATCACTCATACACATAAATTTCTTTGGTCTCTTTGAGACAGGGTCTTCCTGTAGCTGAAACTGGCCTGGAATTCACTATGTAGACCAGGCTGACATTGAACTCAAAGAGATCCCTGTGCAACACCATGTCCAGCTACACTTTTTTTTAAAGTGAAAAAAAAAAAAAAGGATTGTGCATGAAAGACAGTTGTACAATTGATTACCAGGGGGCTACATCCCAAACCCTCTTTTTTTTCCCGATTTGAAGCAGGTCGCACTATGAACTCATTCTAGACAAGGCTAGCTTTGAAATTTACCCCATTTATTTAGTTACTTTGTATATGTGTAGGTGGGCAAGTGCTGCACATGTGTGGAGGTCAGAGTTCTGGGACTGAACTCAGGTCTTCTGGCTTGGCAGAAAGTGCCTTTACTTGCTGTTTCACTGGCCTTGGCCTTGAACTTTGGATCCTCCTGCCTCTGCGTCCCAATTAGCTTAGATTAAGGTCTGTTGCCACTAGGGCCATCCTGTCTCCTTTAAAAACCTTCAATTCCCTACCTATCAGGGTGTTATTTACTATTGATCATGTCATTTGTCTCAGGGGTCACTGACATACTGATATTTATATCCCAAATGATGCCTGGGAAAAGTAGGTGGTATGCTGCCTAGCTAGCATCCCGTTGCTAGAACACTTACCTAGTCCTGCATATAGTACCAGCAGAGAGAAGAAAAAGACAAGAAAAATTAACTGATGAAAGCTTCAACACCTCAACATACTATCTTTGAACTACCTTCCTTGGGGGTGTACTCAGTTTTAGGTTGCTTGACTAATTTCTGCTTTAGGGATTATCCCAACTGAACTGAGCTATTTGTGAACTATTTGGTTTTTTTTTTTTTTTCTTTTCTTTTGTCTTTTTTGAAACAGGGTCTCCCTGTAGCTCCAGCTGGCCTGGAACTATGTAGATCAGGCTGGCCTTGAACTCACTGAGATCCACCTGTCTCTGCCTCCCAAGTGCTGGGATTGAAACTGTGCGCCATCATGCCCAGCACATTTATTCATTTTTGTCCATTGTTTTTTGTTTTTTTTTTTTTTAGTTTTTTTGAGACAGGGTCTCCCTGTAGCCCCATTTGTCCTGGAACTATGTAGACCAGGCTGGCCTTGAACCCACAGAGATCCACCTGCGTCTGCCTCCCAAGGGCTGGGATTAAAGGCATGCGCCACCATGCCCGGCTACTGTCTATCCGTTTTTTGAGGCAGGGACCCCCTTGTAGCCCCAGCTGTCCTGGAACTCACTATGTAGACCAGGCTGGCCTTGAACTCACAGAGATCCGCCTGCCTCTGCCTCCCCAGTGCTGGGACTAAAGACCACCACGCCCAGCTACATTATTATACCTTTTTGAGGTGGGGCCTTTACTACTTTGCCCAGCCTGGGTTTGAACTCCCAGACTCGAGAAATCCTGCCTTAGCCTCCAGCATAGCTGAGACTACTAGCATACTCCTCCACCAGCCTGAGAGGACTGTCATTTCCAGCCTAGGCTGGCCTTGACAAGTAGCCAAGAATGACTCTGCAGTCCTCGTTCTTCTGTCAGCACCTCCCACATGCTAAGATTACAAGCATAGGCCACAAGGCTGGCCAAAGCTCAGTTTTACAGAGAAGTATTATTCTGTAGTATGAGAGCAATACTGATACTGGATTCACAGAAGGAAGACAGAATGTGTGTCACAAAATTATTGTGAGTAGACAGTCATGACTGGGGGCTTTCTACTGACTGGGTGCTGGATCTCAAAGACACAGGAAAGGTGTGAGAATGCCTGTTGGCTACCTTGTGTCATTCACATTGGATTTTCAATCATTGTGAGTTTCTTGGGCTATGGTAATTATCAAGCAAAAGTTTAAAAATTACATATAAAGGAAATGAGCGCTGGGGAGTAAAGAGTATCTACTGCTCAGCAGTAAAGAGTATGTACTGCTCTTCCAGAGGACCCATGTTCAAATCCCAGCACCACATTGGGCAGCTCACAACTGCTGCAAATCTAGCTCCAGGGATCTGCAACCCTCTTCTGGCTGCTTCAGATTCCTCACCCCCACATGCACATTTACACACGTACAGATACATAAGTAAAAACAAATGATTACAAGCATATGCCCTCTTCATTCCACCAGTGTGATATCTCAATTCCACTGTTAAGCCAGCACCTTCACCTGCTGAGGCATCTTACTGGGTCTCACTTCAGCTTTCCAGTCTAGCATCACTCCAAAACAAAGAAGACAATTTAGAACTTTGCAACAGGTTTTTTATTTTTGCTTTATATCTATTACAGTGTTTGAAACCTAAAGAAATACATTTTCGCTTCAAATTTGGATGTGTATATAAATATCATTTGTCTGGACTCAGCACACTCAATGCCACTGTTTCTTGGCCTATTTCTGCTCTGAAATTATCAAGCTTTGTCTGTCTACCCAGGGGCCCTGAGAACATGAAAAAATAGAGTTTACAGTTCTTAGAAAAATAAAAGCAAATGATTTTGGAAAGCAAAACCAGTGAGAAGGATTTGATTACCTTCCTAGGATCCTTACCTGGAAACTCAAGCTGTCCTTGTTGGGGGATGCTGCCTGCTGGGTAGCTGAAACCCCATATCCCCTTCTTTTAATGTGTCAAAAAGGCATTTTTCACAAAAGCTGGCTTAACTCCCCCCCTCCCCCCCAAATACCCAAGTCCAGTGTCTGAGGGCTCACAGAGTATGAACCTCTGACTTAGGTTCCCAGGCAGCCTTAGGATCTGAGCTGTGACTTCCTTCACAGCTCCCTGGGCATGGCACATAGTTCTTTCCCTAAACCTATAGGTTAAAAATCAGACCCACAAAGGAGAACAGGGCTAGTGTGTTATCAGAGTTCTGTTGTGCACTAATGGGAAATTCAGAAGTCAGGCTGGCCTGGGAGTGGGTAGGAAGCCCAAGCCCTTGAAGACACACCACACAAACCTCTCCCCCGTGGTGATCAGGTTCCCCAGTTCATGGCTGATTTTCTCATGGCCAGCTTTGGTCCTGCCCATAGTTTAGGTTTGAAACAAATGCCCTCTCAAAAGGCAAATAGCAGTTTACATTCTGATTTGGTTGGAGATGACCCCAAATTGTTTCTCTGCCATGGTCTTAATTGTGGGGTAGGACTAGGGGATAACTGGGATACTGATCAGTTAAGAAGGTCTTGGCCAAGGAGCAGCTAGTGTCTACCACATAGATCCTTATAGGATCAAATTCTCAGTTTGTTGGCTTGACAAAGAATACAAAATGTAAAACAGAGGGAAAAAAAAGACTGGATGAGTTTGATCTAGAATGTGCAATCCTAAATGGCCAGGAGAAACCCACGCTCACCACCTTGTAGGGCAGTGCTACCCGAAAGCTGCTGGTGCTGGACATGAACACGGTTCCCTGCACTAAGTCCTCTACCCTTCCCCAGCCTGCTAGGGAAGCACATCACTGTTCTGTCTTCCCTGCTAGATCTACAGGGACCTGGAGAAGCTGGCCTTTTGCCTTTCAGAAGCTAGAATTTGAGCTTACAAAATGTACTGAAGAATACCCAATAAGAAACTGAGTGAACCTACAGGAGAAGAGCTGAGGCCTCCAGGAAGGACACAGAGGGCGAAGAAGTTAGGACTGCTGGGCTTTCCAGGTAGACATGAGAAAGTAGAAAGTGTCCTTCTTCACTGGCTTGGCTTGAGAGAAGTAGTCTATGTCTAAGAAACTTCTTTTCCTCTCCTTTAGTTAAATACAACAGCAGTGTGACCTGTACCTAGCTTCAAATACAGGGGTCCCACAGCAAAGGGTGAATGTAAATAGAGGGTCCTAGGTAGCGGGGATACCAAAGATCTCCAAAAGCAGAGGTCAACACCACCTCCATGGAAGGGTCATTTGTCTTTACCAACCCAAGTAATCATGGTGCCAAATGGAGGATGGGACCAGTATGTTCCTATCAAAAGGCTACAGCTAGTATCAAGACTTAGAGTCACCAGATAGAGACCAGAAACTGAAGACAGTGTCTAAGTCCAGATACCCTCTTAGTACTAAACATGATTTAAGGTGCAAACTGAAGATGCTGGCTATCAACAATAACTGGCACAGTTGAAAACATTTCGTGAATGCATGGGGTAAGAAAAAGGCCCCTGTGTTTTTAACCCACACCCAGATATTTCCACCCACGGCAGAAATCTTAAAATGGATATATGAGCCATGTATTAACACACCAGGTTACCTTGGGTGGAGCAGGCTATATATCTGGGAAGCTCTTTCAGCCTGGCAGTAACCATTTAGAACTCTGCTGGAAAGATTCCAATTTCACCTAGGTCAGGGTCTAGAGCCCAGGTTGGGGATGTCCACAAAGAGTAGCTCTTTAAGACAGCTGAAGGAGAGAAGACAGAAAGGTTGACTGTACTGCCTCTGTGGCTGGATTAACTTTACCTGTGGACTCTAGTAGGATATAAAGGGATTTAAAGAGAAGGGGAAAATGGTCTGAGAAAGATGTAAGAGAAAGCTCCTGAGGCCACTTTTCTCTGAAATCTGCTCATGTTGGGCCAGCAGAAATCAGACACTGGAGCAAACTGGCTTTAAGCAGCAGCTGGATGACCAACAGTATTCCATCTAGTATAGAACCCAAGTCTGAAAATGAGATACTGGAGGAAAAGTTGGGAAAGGAGGACTGTTTATGCTTCATGATAAGAATCTGGCTCCAATGTCAGGGACTTAATTGTTATTTGTGATGTTCAAAGTAGATACTACTGAACTATTCCATCCATTAGACATGGATAGCAATGGAGGGCTTTTCTTTGAACTAGGAGCACAGTTTGTAATAAAGTAGCAGGCCAGGCAAAAAAGGTCCTGCCCCTTGCCTCATTAGACATTGAGGGTGGATTAAATAGTAGCATTTGACTCACCAAGGTGTTATAACTTTGGTGAGATTTTTCAGTATAAACTACTAGCCCTCTGAAAATGAATGTGGAGTGGGGCTCGCAAACTAAAGAAGTGGGCAAACTGAAAATCAACAGTGAGAACCTGAACTTTAGATCTGTAAGTGGAGCCATAGGTTTCACCTGAGCCAAAGGGGTATGTAGGAGTGGGAGTAAGAACAGCCTTTTTTTCTGGAGAAGAGTAGCCTTGAGCAGAAACCTCTCATTAGCCACAGCAGGGAGGCAGGGGCAGGGCAGACTGTACTACCAGCTCCATAGCTGGTCTACACTTAGCTTGACAGCATCCCGTGCCCCCATCCCCAAGAGTTGAGTTTATGAGTAACCCACTAAAATATAGGTAAGCCACTGTGGCACTGCGCTTATTTCACTCTGAAAGAAAGAAAAGGTACCTATAAAACTGTCACAAGAGAAAATCCAAGCCAGGTACAAGGATTCCAAAAAGGGAAGATAGCAACAGCTCTCACAAAAGTATTCAGGTTGCTAAGTTTCTATGATAACATGAGGAGGCTGCTGTGTGTCAGAACTTAAGTGGATAACAGCGAACTGAGAATGAATTAGAGAAGACAGACTGCTTTCTAGGTTTCCTGATAGAGGCAAGATGCTCAGAAGGAAGGACCACAGTGGTAGACTTCACTAGGCCTTGAGGCCCTCCTGCTTCCTTCAGGTACTGAGACAACCAGACCAGGCTGACTCACTTTATAAAGCTTCCAGAGGTGAGAGTTGGTCCCAAGTGGTAGCCCAGAGTCCAAGCAGAAAAAGAAAAGAACCAACAGTTCTTCTGAGCAAGGAAGCTTCTATGTCCCTTCTTGGTCTTCCTCACAGTATCCTACTTATAGGCGATTCTTCCTCCTACGACCAATTAAGACTGACCTACTTAAAATATAGAATATAAAAAAATACAGAACTTTTTGACATTCTCTCCTTTGGAAGTAAAATATACATGATCCAACTATAGAAGAGGAAGAAGAAAGGCCGAAGGCAGGGATTCCTGACTATCCCAATACATGACCCTAAATCCAACCTCCTCTACAACTAATGGGTTACCAGAGCAAGGACTTTCTCCCCAAGAGAAGGGAGGACCATAGCCCCCTGTCTCGAGCTTAAGAGAAAATACAACCACCTCAGAGGTTCATTTTACTCTGAGAGGAATTTTCAAGTAAACAAATGAAGTTGGGTCGCACCATTTGGGAGGTGGGTGGGAAACATAGGGTCAGTAGCTACGTATGGGAAGCCATCTGAAGGCCTGTGCTCCTCCCCTCCTCTCCCATTGGTACACTTGCTCCAGGAGAGTGGCAGGGGGGTGGGCTCCCAAACTAAAGAGGTCTTAGGCATAGGGATGGGGAGACAGGCCTTTGTCTTGTGGTGGCCTCCCCATTAGCCTCTATTTCCAGACAATGCTGGCAGCTGGGATTCCTAAAACCAGCTTTTGGGAAGAACAACCTTAATATAAGAAAAATGTGCAAAAGAAAAAAATAATTAAATAACTCAATCCAAGCATACAAGATTAATATTCTGTCAGAGCAAGAATACTTTGTTTTGCACTTCTCCCCTCCCCTCCCACCTCTGGGATATTCCATCTGCTCAAGTACCCAAGATAAGAGTTACACAGATCAGGGCAGAGGACTGGGATGGACGAAGAAAGAAAAATGGGAAGGAAGTCACCACTAGAGGAAAAATAAGAAAAAAATGTAAAGGTGCAAATTGATTACCTCAGTCCTCCTTTGTCTCCCCTGGGCTCGTGGGTTAAAGACATGTGTGCAGCCAAAATATAGTGTAAGGAAGAAAAACCCACATGTCCCCTTCTTGTCACAAAACCCAAATGTGAGCCTCAGATGGTTCTGTCCAGAGGGTGCTCCCTCCAGGGAAGGGGGTAGAGCAGGTCAAGAGCACAGTCTCCAGAGCAGCAGGCATATGGTGGCTGGCGGTGGGGTGGCTGTGTTCCTGCCAGCCGGAGGGCTGCTCTTCTGCTGGCTGGTGGTGCTTCCCATCCCCTCCCCTCCCCGGAGGCAGACATTATAGCTGGAAGCCCTCCATGGGGGCCTCAGGCTGCTGGAAGATGAACTGCTGTTGTGTCTCATCCACCTGAGGGGCCAGGCTACTGTCGTCATCTTCTACACCGAAGTAATGCTCAATGAGGTCGAAGGCCTTCTGGTAGATTTCCTGGTTCTCATGGCTCTGGAGAAACTCAATTTTATCCAAGCCTATGATGGCAGAAAAGAAGGGAGGAAAGAAGGAAAAATTAACTCAATGTTTTTTCTGTGGGTACTGAGGTTTGAGTTTATAAACAAAAGTACTAAGACCAAATGATCCTTTGACATTAAAGAAAAGTTAAAGTTTCTTCCACAAATTATAGACTCCCAAAGGGAAGACATCAAATTCCAGTTAATGTAAGAGGTTCTAGGGGCTGGGGAGATGGCTCATTAAAATGCTTGCCCCAAAAGCACAAAAAGCTGAGTTTGCCTCCCAGGACCCGCAGAAAAAGCCAAGTGTGGTGGCAGGTACTTCTAGTCCCAGCACTCAAGGGGCAGAAATGGGCAGATCCCTTGGGCTAGCCTATTCAGTGAGCCCTAGCTCCCAGAGACCCTGCCTCAAAAAACAAAGTACATAGCTCGTGAAGAATGACACTATTGACCCCAACTTCCACACACATGTGCATACACCCATATGTATCTAAGGGTTCATACTCAATGGGTTCTAGCCGGGTGTGGTGGCGCATGCCTTTAATCCCTGCACTTGGGAGGCAGAGGCAGGTGAATCTGAGTTCAAGGCCAGCCTGGTCTACATAGTGAGTTCCAGGATAGCCGGGGCTACAGGGAGACCCTGTCTCAAAAAGACCAAAAAAACCCCCCACCAATTAATAGGTTCTAGTCCCAACTCTACTTGAAGCTAGATCTGTGCAAATCACTATTGGTCTCTTCTCAGAGATGGGTGATGAATCAATCCAGCACTCTTAAGGGAACTTGTGAGAAACTATCCTGGAAACAAGCCTTCTAGGTCCTGATCGTATCACACATTTGGATTTCCCTTCTTGCATCTGTACCATATCTACTTTTTTAGATAGGTAGAGTCTATGAAGAACACTGAGCCAGTTATAGGGGCACATGGTTTTAATCCCAACACTAGGGAAGGTAGAGGGAGGTGGATCTCTGACTTCCAGGTCAGCCAGGACTGTATATTTGAGACCCTGACTCAAAGCAAACAAACAAAAAACAAAAAAAAAGAAAATGTTAATCTATTGCTCCTCACAGGGAAGAAGAACCTGTGGGATTAAAAACTTGGATACTATCTAACTCAATCTACCTTGACTAGTCATTACATGTCTGTTACTCTTATGAGAAGATCTGAAATCCTACAGATGGTATAACTTGGCTGGAACAGTTCTATGGATTTAAGAACATACTCTAGTATTTTCTTTTCTTTCTTTCTTTTTTTTTTTTAAGTTTTTATTTCTCTTTATTTTATGTGTATGTGTATATTGCCTGCATGTAGGTAAGTGCACCCGTGTTGTGTCCAGCAATGCCCGAGGAGATCAGAAGAGGCTGTTGGATTCCCTGGGACTGGAGTTACAGACAGTTGTTAGCTGCCATGTGGGTGCTGGGATTCAAACCCAGGTCTTCTGCAAAAGCACCCAGTGTTCTTAACCACTGAGCCATCTCTCCAGCGCCATCTTTTTTTTTTTTTTTTTTTTTTTTGAGACAGGGTCTCCCTGTAGCCACAATTGGCCTGGATTCACTATGGAGATCAGGCTGGTCTCAAACTCAGAGATCCGCCTGCCTCTGCCTCCCGAGCGCTAGGACTAAAGGCATGTGCCACCACGCCCAGTAAGAAATATACTCTAGTTTTATAAAATGTATGGATGCTCTCCAACACGTTCCCCACTAACATACTCCATTTTGAAGGTTGGTGAATCTATTTAAGAGTGGTCAGGGAGAGAGAACTTACCATAGGCTTCCTCAATGAGGCCACAATAGGGATTTACCCCTGAGCCACTACGCTTGCCCTCTTGTTCTCCAAGCCGGAGGATGTTCTCTAGTCCATTGAGGGCCACTTGGACAATCTTTGAATCCATTACAGTCAGCAAGTCACATAGGGGCTTGATGCAGCCCAGTGACACTAGGTACCTGGGGGTCAGAGATGTAAGGTCCAAATTAACGCAGAAGCAAAGTACTAAGCAGGTGTTTTGATATCTACCTCAGACATGTAAACACTCAACAATCCGCTCTTACTAAGTCTCAATACCCATCCATCCTTCAGCTCAATCTCTCTACTGTTCCACAGCCATCGATCCAGTGCATTTCATATGTATATACCACCAAAAGCCTAATGTCATCTTGGCTACAAAATTATCACTCCACACACATTTTATAGACTCTGTATAATCAGACTCCTACCTCTTTCTCTACCTCTGCTTACAGTATTTCCTGCCAGGACTACTATTGTAGTTAAACTTCAAGTATCTCCTTATTTCTGATCCTTAAGCCTTTACATGTCCGTGTCCCCTCCCCCCATCTTACAAGTTTACTACATAACACTGAATTTAGTTTTTTTTTTTTTTTTTTTTTTTTTTTTTTTTTAACAGGGTCTCCCTATAGTCCCAGCTGACCTGAACTCACTATGTAGACCAGGCTGGCCTTGAACTCACCAAGATCCACCTGCCTCTGCCTCCCAAGTGCTGGGACTAAAGGCGTACACCACCATGCCTGGCCTGAATTTAGCTTTTAATGTTTAACTTCATGGCTATTCCTCTTCTCCTGAGACTTTATATATACTGACTATATTTCCCTGTGTAGGTTATAAGTACAGGACAAGAACTTACCCAATTTCTACCATTCCTACTAATGTTCATATGTCCTACTAATGTTATGGAAACTGACAGAGTACTGCCACAAGCTGGGTATGGAGGCATACGCTGGTAATCCCAGCACTCAGGAGACTGAGACAAGAGGATCACAAGTTTGAGGAGAGCCTGGGATACACAGCAAGACCTCGTCTCCAAAACTAAGAGTTGGCTGGGTACAGTGGTGCATGCCTATAACAAAGCACTTTGGAGGCAGAAGGACTGTGAGTTCCAGGGCAGCCTGGGCTACATAGTGAGACTGACTCCATTAAAAAAGAAAAACACCATATCACCACATGTGGGAATGACTACGAGATACTATTTCAAACATAGAGCTTTAATCCCTCACAACCCTTCCTTGCCCCTGACCGTGGATAATGTATGTAAGTATGTGTTGTGAAAATACTAAAAGCTGCAGGATTATCCCATTTGTGTTGTAAACAACTGGTGGGATTAAATTGGTAACATGTGTTTGTGATTGTTGGCACTGTTCTAGCTCAGTAAGAACATAATCCTGAGAAGACAGTTCCTCTTTTCCTTCCCCATTTAATGCTGGATATATGGTTTCAATAAAAAGAGAGCAAGTCCTTTGTTTGGGAAAGCAGATCCGGGAGAACTCTGAGGGAACAAGCTCTCAAAACAGCTCAGGGTCCCTCTGGATTTAAATGGACATTAAGAGTCAGGCTGTCTTTATTCAGGCCTCACTGTATGTGGCATCCCATCACTACAACCACACAGAGACACAGACATATACATAAGTTTCATCCTCAAAAATGATTGCCTATAGATGGCTGGGGCTGAAGCTCAGGGCAAAGGCCTAGTATAATCAAGCCTCTAGGTTCAATCTCCAGCTCCAAAAGAGTTTACCCACAGAATTTGCTTTGATTGACTTCTTAATAATTGAGAATTATATAGATTTTCGTTCTCTGGATGGTAGGAAGGGGTAGAGGAATGGTGTTGGGAATCGAATGCAGGTCTTATGCTAGAGGTTTCTGTTCTAAAGAGGGTAGAACATCAAGAGGTAAAACATCATGGTCTGCAGGAATCTATTCTGGAGTCCAGTATCACGCTAGTAGCTTACCACGTAAAACCCTAATACAGATGGATTAGGGGGCACACCTATCCCAGCAAAACTCTTGTCCCAGTTACAGATTATCCATTAACTATGAATAAACACAATATTGAGAAAGGAATACCTGATCTGTTCAGGGGTTCCTCCTGATGTGGCATTGGTGATAGCCCAGGCTGCTTCTTTCCTTGTACGAAACTCTGCTTTCTGAAGAATTTCAATCAACACAGGGAAGATATTTGCATCTATGACAGCCTGACAGAGGATGGGAGGAGGAGGGAGAAGGTTACTTTAAGGAGAAAAAGCAGGAGAGCCAGGCACGGGGACACATGCCTATAAATCTTAACACTTGGGAGGTAGAGGAAGACCAGAGGTTCAAGGTCATTTGAGGCCAGCTTTGGCTACACGAGACCCTGTCTCAAAGGAAAAAAAAAAGCAGAGAAAGTAAATCTGGCACAAAAATCATTTAAGACTTAGCCATCTTTCATACTGATCACAATTTTTTTTTTTTTTGTTGGTATTGGGGATCAAATCCAGGCCTTGGGCATGCTAGGGTAATCCCCTACCAGTAAGCACACTGACAGCTCCTTGACTCAGATTTCTACAGGGAAACAAATGCTTCTTCTGGAAGCAAATGTACCATAAACTCCCATGATTTTTTTTATTTATTGAGAAAGGGTCTCACTGTGTGCTGGTTAGTTTTGTCAATTTGACATAGAGTCCTGGAAAGCAGGAACCTCAACTGAAGATTTTTACAGATCAGATTGGCCTGTAGCCATGTTTATGATGTATTTTATTGATGGCTAGTTGATGTAGGAAGGCCCAAACCAATGTGGACTGTTCTATCCCTAGATAGGTGGGCCTGTGCTGTATAAGAAGGGTAGCTGAGTGCAATGATGCATGAATTTTTTCACCAGAAATCACTGTAAAGAGCAAAGTCAAGCTTTTTAACACAGAGTCACAGCCTAGGGAAAAAAGGTAGCTGAGGCAGGGCAGTGTTCCTCTATGGTCTCTGGCTTAGTACCCGGAGTTCCTGCCTCAATGATAGATTGTATGTAACTGGTAAGCCAAATAGACCCTTTCCTCTCCAAGTTGCTTTTAGTCATGGCGTTTATCACAGCAACAGAAAGCAAACTAGAACACTGTATAACCTTAGCTGGCCTAGAACTTACTATGTGCACCAGCTGGTCTCAAACTCAGAGATCTGCCTGACCTTGCCTCCTGAGTACTGGAATTAAAGGTATGTGTTACCATGCCCAGCTACCTCCATATTTTGAATCCTCTCCATGCTTTTCAACTTCCCTATCTGTTCTACCTGTATTTGAGCCCTGTTGCCAGCAGTGATGTTTGAAATGGTCCAGCAAGCTTCCTTCCGGATTGACTCCTTAGAGCTGCTCAGCAAGTGGAGGAGGCAAGGGAGAGCTGAACAGTTAAGAATAACCTAGAATACCAAAAGCACAAGAAATAAAAAACCAGATATTTAGACTTAATCATAATTTAAAACGTACATCAAGACACCATAAACAGTGCAAGAGAATAGGAGAAAATATCTGTAAAACATGTGCTGATAAGGGATTAATATCCAGAGTTTATTTAAATAACAACTACAATTACACACACACACACACACACACACACACACACACACACACACACACACAAATCCGAAATAACCAAAAAATAAGCAAAGGAGGTCCGGCATGATGGAGCATGCCTTTAATCCCAGCACTGGGGGGCCGAGGCAGGCAGAACTCTGAGATCAAGGCCACCCTGTTCTACATAGTGAATTCCAAGCTAGCTGGGGCTACAGGGAGATCCTGTCTCAAAAAAAAAAAAAAAAAAAA